AATAATAATAATAATAATAATAATAATAATAATAAACATCAGCAAAGCTGTCAAATGAACAGACAAAAAGCAGAAAAAAAGAGACACAAAATGGGTTATTTTGTCAATTCTGATGTATAATAAACTAGAGGATCAGACAGGCGATACTGCCTCTGGATATGGTACCACCAGCAGGAAGGTATGGATGGAAGTGTGTTAGTATGGACAAGGGTTGGGTAAATGTGGCCAGAGTATTTTATAAGGAAAAGTAAGCTAAAGGTTAAATTCAAGTGTAGTGTAGATGAAGATGCTCAGTATGTGATTGTTTTTAGAATATATATTTTTTTTTACAAAATTGGAGATATAAGGGCCGGATTATTCTGCAAAGTGAAAGTAGTCAAAGGTCAAACTTAAGGTCAAATTAAGATTGCCAATGTAGTACTTCCTATTCAAAGTTCAATAGTAACTATGGATGTTTCTCTGCCAGTTTTGGCGATATGAGGGTTGAAAAATTTGCAAAGTTCAGTTCGTGGTAAAAAGTAGGTCAAAGGTCAAATTCAAGTTCACAGTATGAAGCCACATGCATTACCTCCTATCTAAGTTCAATAGTGACTTTGGGCATAACTTTGCAAGTTTTGGATATAAGAGTAAAAAAAATTGCAAAATTCAGTTCATGGCGAAAAGTAAGTCTTAGGTCAAATCCAAGGTCACAGCAAGATTGCCTATATATGACTTTTTATTCAAGATCAGTAATAACTATGGATGTATCTCTGCCAGTTTTAGAGTGTTTCACATTTTATTTTCACCAATGAATATCACGATATTATGCTATTTGATATAGTGCAATTCCTCAACTGTCTAGGAAAAAAAAAAAAAAAAAAACGACACCACCTTCAGTGGGACTCTTAGCAAGCTCAGCAAAATGCAGCTTACAAAAGGTCTATAGCTTCAAGGGTTCCAGAATTAGAGAGAGTTTGAATTTTGGCATTTATTGCACTGATTGACCTCTAACTCACAAAGGATTAAAGGAGACCCTAAGAGTAACTAAGACCTTAGCTTTCCCTATATTGTAAAAACTTAGGTCCATGTAATAGCTGAAAATTGGCACAAATTTTTTTTCACAGAAAATACCCGTCTTTACCAAATTTTGTCTTATTTGATCTTGAAATGCAGGACAAACACATGGGCATATTTTGAATCTCCACATATGACCTTGAATCAGACTTCTATAGGAACTTTTTTCACCACTCCTTTGGTTTGGGAGCCATGCTAACAATGGTGCCGATGGAACAAGTGGAAAGGATGGATCGAGACTAAACCTATGTTGATAGTTTTTAATTATTCTATTATGACAGTTTTTAATTCTCCCTTAAAAGTTGCCTTTTTATGTGTTTATGATTAATGTTTTAATAAAGTTAATCTGTAAGTTGCTGTAATTCTTAAGATTTTTTACATTGTAATTGTAATGTGTATTGAAATGTGAAATAGCAGACAGATTGTGTCCTCTCAACACCAGTGTATATTTTTAATCAAAATTTGTACTGATACACAAATTTGCAAAACCAAATATCTGTACAATTTTCTACACTGTCAGCTTATAGGTCCCATAGTTACATGGTGCCACATATACTAAATTCTCCTACTGCATTTGCAGGGGAAAAGATTTAAAAATTCAGGATAAGTTTTTTCTGATTTACCTCTTTGACCCCATGCAAAATGATCTAATCTATCACTCTGTGAAATAATTTTTTTGTAAGGTTGCTATAGAATACTTAGTAGTTGACTTATCTATACTACTGCATAAGTAATTTCATTACTATTACCAAAAGTACCAAGCATAATATTCAAATAAGTCACAAATTTAAAAAAAAAGTTATTTCCAGTAACTTTAAATAAAATAATCAGGCTACAGTTTTGAAAGAACTCTATTATGTAAGAACCCTTTTACAATATTAGCTGTAAAGCAAAATAGTGGGAAACAGGATTGCAAAACATACCTGACTGGGCTAATTACTTTTGTGAAAAAGGACCCCTCCATATAATTACCCACCAAAGTGAATTTTCTTGGGATATAAGAACAATTTTGTTCTACCTACGAATTTCTATGTTTTATTCCATTTTAAAATTAAGACTACTTTGACAGAATAAATTATGTCATGTATAATGCAGGCATTGTAAACTGACAATGGTTACCCAAGTGGACTGAGAAGACTATAAATATGCAACATATGCTTTAAAAGAACAACAACATTATTTAAAGGGCTTTTTTGTCTGAAGAGTATGAATTGGGAAATATAAGAAGCTTTTCAAGACATGAATAGGACTGTAGGAGATTTTCAAATGTGTGCAGGGAATCTCTAGAAATTAATTTTGGCAGTCAATCCCATGGATTGGCCCTTTAACCAATGATCCTGATAATACATTTTCTCTGTCTCTATCACACATGCACACTCCCCGTATGATCACACCTAATACTAACCCTGCCTCCAAGTCTTTAACTTTGGCCTTCAGCTGTTTGATTTCATCATATAAAGCAAAATCAGTCTTCTCTATTTTTGTCATCCTGTAAGGAAGGCAATAGATATTGTTACAAGTCATTAGCACTTAAAAGAAAAAAAAAAAAAGAAGACAATAATTGTCAAAGATTACCAAATAATCTACTATTCAGACTTGACAATGTTAAATAATAAATACATATAGAAAGATTAATAGTCAATCCATTGTGTTACATCTTTATTATTCAAGCTCAAGTAATGAAAATTACACAAATAATAAATATGTAAAATTAGATAAAAAGATAAAAACAAAAACAAATATATATAAATATATATAAAAAGAAAATGGTATTTCTTCTTCCTTTGGGGAATCTATTGTGGACACATTTGAGCAACATGTCTTAATGCAAAGTGAGTGATTTTTGTTTTGTCATCGGAGCAATATATATCTGGATTTAAAAGGGGATGATTTCTTACTTGTCATTGTTGAGCATGAATCCATTTTATTTCATTCATCTCCAAAGGTCACTTACACACTTTTCTACGAACTCAACATGCTATATCTTCTGGTTTATCACATACTGTTTAGATTCATACACATGATACAGAAATAATGGCTGTTAAGAATCTCCTCAGTTGGTGCAGTATATAAGATAAAAGGCCAAGAACTGACCCTGGGGGAAATCCATAAATTAAAAGCAGAGGCAAAGTTATTGATGCTACAGAGTCAACAGAATTAGTCACAGATATACATGATATTCAGATCAAACCCATGTACAGCCTTGACCTGTAGAAATCCAAGATCATATCAACTTAAATTGACCTTAATAAAATTTCTAATATCGCCAAAATCATTTGATTAACTGGAAGGTCAGAGAGGCAAAACCGCATCCAGGTATTGTACCACCAACTGAAGCAAGCGCATTGGCAGGGGAAAAAAAAGGCAGCAAAGCTGTCAAATGTACAGAAAAAAAGTAGAAAAAAATAATTCACAAAATAGAATACTGTTAATTCTGATGCAATAATACATAACTGCAAAGTCAACTTCAAATTTTAATTATGCACACCAGGTAATACCGATGAAAGTAAAAGCATAAGGTTTCAGGCCCATGAGAGTTAAAGTACACACTTAGAAAATGTCAGATTGAGAAAAATGAAAATTTCACCAAAAAAAAAAAAAAAAAAATGCATTAATCCAATAAAAACGATAAACAAATAGAGCTGGTTTTCTTATTTGATCTTTATGTCAAGAAAAGTAAGTGACATGATTTTTCTTTAATGGTCACTATGAAGGCACTGCCCAAATTGGGGTTTCTTCAAATTTGATGCAATATAACATAAAGCATAACAGCATAATGACCATCAATTATAAATAATAAAGTAAAAATATCATGAGTATTCAGAAAATGTGACTAGCAAAGGTTTTCATAGCCCATGGAAATTAAAGTTACACCTTGAAAATGTCGACGTGAAAAATTTAAATTTCACGAAAAAATGTATAACTTACAGAAAAATTAATCAATGACAGATTTTCCAACTGAAGCTGTATTTAAGTCCCATGTTTCTTTTCTGTAAGTGTGAGAAGAGTAAGTGGAATGGTTTTGCTTTAATGGTCACTATGGCAGCAGTGCCCAAAACTGGGTTTACTTCAATAACAATGCACAAAATAGGCTACTGTCAATTCTGATGCAAAGTACATTATGCTTAACTGCAAATTCAACATCAAATGTTATAATGCTCAACAGGTAATACCGATGTAAGTAAAATGTGCAACAAGCATAAGGCTTCAGGCCCATGGGAGTTCAAGTTCACACTTTGAAAATGCCAGAATGAGAAAAATGAAAATTTCACACAAAATTGCATAAATTCAATAATAAATGATAACCCAATTGAGCTGGCTTTCTAATTTGAACTGCATGCCAATCCTAAAAATCATACTTGTAAGTTAAAAATAATAATAAGTAACAGTTTCCTTTTCATGTTTGTAGTAGCAGTGCAAAAATTTTTTTCGATTTTTAAATAATTATCACCAATTTTTGATTATTGATTATAAATAGCATGGGCATGTAGAAAATTTGATTACCATTCGGCTTCAAGTCCATGGGAGCTCTGAGTCCCACTATGAATATGCCAATACGATAATAATGAATATTTCACTAAAATGTATAACTTCCAGAAAAAGAAGCCAATAAGACTGCTTTTCCAACTCAGGCTGCATTTTAGTCCTGTGTTTCTTTTTTGAAAGTTTGACAATCATAAGTAACACGGTTTTCCCATAATTGTCATCATGGCAGCAGTACCCAAAATTGTGTTTTCTTCTATTTTGATGCAATATTACATAATGCTTAACAGCATAATGGCCATCAATTTTTAATAATAAAATATATGCATCATGGATTTTCAGAAAATATGCCTAGCATGTGTCTTCAAGCCCATGGAGGTTCTTAGTCACACCTTGAAAATGCTTATAAGTGAAAAATTAAATTTTCAAAAAAAAACTTTTTAATTGCCAGAAAAATTTACCAAACAGACTGCATTGCCTACTGAAGCTGTATTTTAGTCCCATGTTTCTATCCTGTAAGTTTGAGAACAGAAGTGATATGTTTTCCTTGAAATGTGTTTAGTGTTGCATATATGCTGAAAAGTGAAAAAAAAAAAAAACAGCATAACTTCTAAAATAATGGCCCGATAATGCTGATTTTTGAACTTGACCTGCGTTTTATGAATATTCATCAGCTCTGTAAATATTAAGCCAAAAAGTAAAACTGTCTTCCACTTATTGTGTTTATGCTGAAAGTGCACGGCGATGACAGACGCAGGTGATGGCAATATGTACAGACACACCTGTAAACTGTGGAAAAAAAATGGACACCACACCCAGTGTTGGGCTTGACAAGCTCTATCAAATGCAAAAAACAAGAGGTCTCTAGCATTAATGTTTCCAGAATTAAAGAGTTTTTTGTTTTGGCATTTAATGGCCTCTTCGATCGTCCATGAAAATGCACCTATTGACCCCAAACTCAGCCGATCAAAAATGACCCTAAGGGTAATACCTGTCCATAATATTATAGGTTAGGTCTGTGTAGTTTCTGAAAACCAGCATAAATAATTTTTTTTTTACAAAAAATTACCAATTTTTAGAAAATTTTGGCCCGTTTCACCTTAAAATGAAGGACAAAGGTCAAATCCAAGGGCATATTTGAAATCTCCACATTTGATTTTCTGTCAACCATCTGTAGAAATTTTTCCCATGATTCCTTGTTTGGGAGATATATAGCATTTAATTTCGCCAATTTTGGACAAGGGTGCATTGCGATGAGCGCCACATCTAGACCCAAGCACTGATTAAGTCCAAAATTTATATGGAACAAGTTGAGATTATAAGTGTCCAAAATCCAAGAGAAGGGTACACAGGGTCTTGTAGTCTAGGAGATGCGGTAACGGTGACATGTTGGCGGGGCCGACGGAGCTGGCAAACAAGATGGGTCGGGACTAAAACCATGTGCACTGCCAGCGCCTACACTGGTGGTACAATAAAAATGTTGAAAAACAAAGAATGACCTGATCATGGTCATTTCAAAAGCTCATCCACCTATTAGAGCCTTATCATAGGCCAATTCATCAAGATTCCAAATGAAGTTCTTTCCTGGTAAATTCATGTCTCTGAAGAACTTCAATAGCACATCAACAAAGATAAAATTATTTTAAAAGCTCAACAAAGATTTCACATTCTGTGACACTTGAAGATGTTTTATGTCAACCATGAAGTGCTAGTAAAATGTTACCATGCAGTGATTGAGAGTGTATCAACACTCTCTTTCACGGCCCTGTAATATGTGCCAGAGCAGAAGTCAAGAATCACCTCGACCACGGAGACAAAACAGCTAGTTGTACTGTAGGGAAAGAATTATCACCAATGGAAAGTCTGTATGAGAAAAGAGTGCTCAAGAACATGAAATGAAATGTGCATGGATCTGATACCAGTTATAGTTAAATATGTATAGACACGCATGTAATATGTATAGGCACCACTGTACACAGGCATATAAATCACAAACACATACCAACAACACAGACCATCGACTGATTATTTGAAAAAAAAAAACTTACATAAATTAGAGGATTGAAGTAAAATAACATTTATTTGAAAATCTGTTTTCAGAGACATTGGGAATCATTATATACTTTAAAGTATTGATTTTAACACAATAAGAAGCACAATGTCTCAAATTCTGCTTTGTTTCTTCCACACACAGCCATGCCATCAGAAAGCAAAAGGTGTCTATACCTACCTAACAGGCCAAGGATGGGGTGTGTCTGGAGACCTTTGGATAAAAGAACTTAACAGTTACTAAAAAATACTAACTGTTTGAGTTTAAATTACTTGTCCCATTGCTGTGGTGATAACTTTAATACACATTTCAAAAATAACTTTTATCACTGGCAGAACATTCATACATTAAGACAATGTAATAAAGAAGTTAATGATTTTATTGTTTAAAGTCCTAAAAACTTTCCATATCGAACACTGTTAGGTAGCAATAATGCTAAATAAGGCAGCAAATCTGTCAAATGTACAAACAAAAAGCATAAAATGATGAACTGCTACTGTCAATTCTGATGTGATAATACACTATGCTTAACACCAAAGACAAAACAATTTTAACTAGAGGATCAGAGAGGCGATACCGCCTCAGGATATTGTACTATCAGCTGGAGTAAGCGCATTCGTATGGACCCCCCCCAAAAAAAAAAAAAAAAAAAGGGACACCACCACCAGTCTTGTGCTTGCAATGCAATCAACAAGTTCTCAAAATATGCAAAAAAAAAAAAAAAAAATATAACAAAAAATGGTACAATCAAGCAGATTTTCAAATTGACCTGCATATTCCTAACATTGATCACTCCTGTGATTCTCTAGACAATAGGCCTATTGGTTTTCCTTAAAATGTGTTGTCAGTGTTGCATATATGCTGACAAAAGAGAAAACCTAGGGGCAACACCGGGCACATCTCTGCTAGTTTTGAAGATATGAGGGGCAAGAAAATATGCAAAGCTCAGTTCATGGTGAAAAAGTAGGTCAAAGGTCAATTTCATCATCACAGTATATGAATTTCTATTCAAGTTCAATAGTAACCATGGGCATTTCTTTGCCAATTTTGGAGATTTTAAGGCCAGAAAACATGCAAAAAGCAGTTCATCATAAAAAGTAGGTCAAAGGTCAATTTCAAGGTCACAGTTAGGTTGACAGTGTATGACTTCCTATTCAAGTTAAACAACAACTTTGAGTGTATCTCTACCGGTTTTTGAGATCTAAGGGAAAGAAAATTTACAAGATCAGTTTATGCTGAAAATTAGGTAAAAGGTTAATTTCAGGGTCACAGTTAGATTGCCAGTATATGACTTCCTATTCATGTTCAATACCAACTATGGGAGTATCTTTGCCAGTTTTTGAGATATAAAGATCAGAAAATATGCAAAGTGCAGTTTATTATGAAAAGTAGGTCAAAGGTCAATTTCAAGGTCACAGATTACCAGTATATGATTTCCTATTTAACTTCATTACTATGGACCTTTGTCTGCCAGTTTTGAAGATAAAAGGGAAGTAAAATTTGCAAAGTTCATTTAATGGTGAAAATTAGGTCAAAGGTCAATTTAAGTGCCACAGTTAGATTGCCAGTATATGACTTCCTATTCAAGTTTAATAGTAACTACCTGCATATCTTTGCCAGTTTTGGAGATATAAAGATCAGAAAATTTGCAAAGACCAGTTTATCATGAAAAAAAGGTCAAAGGTCAATTTCAAGGTCACAGTAAGATTACCAGTATATGTCTTCCATTCAACTTCAATAGTAACTATGGAGCTATCTCTGCCAGTTTTGGAGTTAAAAGGGAAAGAAATTAACAAAGTTCAGTTCATGATAAAAAGTAGGTCAAAGGTCAATTTAAAGGTCACACTTAGATTGCCAGTATATGACTTCCTATTCAAGTTCAATAGTCACTATGGACCTATCTCTGCCAGATTTGGAGATAAAAGGGAACAAAAATTTGCTAAGTTCAGTTCATGGTGAAAAAGTAGGTCAAAGGTCAATTTTAAGGTCATGGTAAAATTGCCTCTAATGACTTCCTATTCAAATTCAATGGTAACTATGGGCGTATCTTTGCCAGTTTTGAAAGTATAAGCATTAAAAGAGTTGTAAAGTTCAGTTTATGGTAGGTCAAAGGTCAATTTTAAGGTCACAGTTAAATTGCCAATATATGACTTCCTGTTCAAGTTCAAAGTAACTATGGGCGTTTCTTTGCCAGTTTTGGAGATATAAGGGACTTATATGTTGCAAAGTTTAGTTCATGGTGAAAAGTAGGTCAAAGGTCAATTTCAAGGTCACAGTCAACTTCAATAGTAACTATGGTCCTATCTCTGCTGGTTTTAGATATATAAGGGACTAAATGTTACAATTTTAGAGTTACAATAATGCACCATAAATTTCCTGTCAAAAGATATTAATTTTGGTTGAAATTCTTGCAATGGGAGGTGCTCAGAAGTTCCAGATGTTCATGAAATAATGTCATTTTTGACCAGAAGTTGTTTGCCTCGCCAAGCCTTATGTTTTATTTTCCAGAGGTTCAAAATTTATTATACATTACCATATTGCACATTTTGCTTTCACCACCAAAATGTACTTTTTGATACAGCATAACTCAAAAACCGTATGGAAATAAAAAAAACGGAGACCACCTTCAGTGTTGGGCTTTACATGCTCTACAAAATGCAAAAAAGAATGGGTCTCTAGCATTAACGGTTCCCGAATAAGAGACAGTTTTCAGTTTCGGTATCTTATGGCCGCTACTCCCGTGAAAATGCACAGACTGACACCAAATTCACGGAGATGAAAGATGACCCGAAGGGTAACACTTTCCAATAATATTATAAGTTAGGTCTGTGTAGTTTCTGAATATCAGTGCAAATAATTTTTTTTGGAAAAAAATTTCGTTTTTTGAAAATTTTGGCCCATTTGACTTTGAAATAAAGGTCAAAGGTCAAATCCAAGGGCATATTTGAAATCTCCACATATGACTTTCGGTCAGCCGTCTGTAGAAATTTTTCCCATAATTCCTTCCATAGGGTAGATAATTAGCATTTATTTTTGCCATTTTTGGACAAGGGTGCATTGCAATGAGCACCACACCTAGACCCCAGCACCGACGAAGGCCAAATTTTACGTGGAACGAGTTGAGATTATAGGTAACCAACCTAAAGTCTGTAGGAGGAGAAGCGGTGATGATGTCATGGCAGCGGAGCCGGTGGAACATGCGGGTCGGGACTAAAACCATGTGTACCACCAACGCCTACGCTGGTGGTACAATTATGCACATCAGGTAATACGGATGTGGATGTTTCCGTTCTGCCTCATGCCTGTGGGAGTTCTATGACCCACAGTGAAAATGACAGAATGTGAAAAATGAAAATTTCACAAAAATGTGTAACCTCCCGAAAAAAGATGTCAATTAAACTGCTTTTCCAGCTCAAGCTGAATTTTAGTCCTGTTTCTTTTTTTTTTCTGTTTAAGAATAATAAATAACAAGGTTTTCCCTTCATGGTCATCATGGCAACAGTGTCCAAAATAGGGTTTTCTACAATTTTGATGCAGTATCACATAATATTTAACAGCCTTTGATTTCTGGTCCCCTCTTGTAATTAGAATTTTGACTAGCTGAATCATAGTTCTTAACTGTACCAAATGGCACGGTTTGCTCTCTAAAATACCAAAAATTTTAGGGCCCTTCAGAGAACCCCACACCAAGTGAGGGGGCATGGGGAGGCAGCAGGGCTTAGCATCTTCCCCCCCCCCCCCCCCCAAATAATCCTTGATCTGCCCAAGCATATCTAAACCTTTGTTTAAAAAAATGGTGTCTTGAACTTGATATACTTAAAATGAATGTCTCATAGAGGTGATTTCATAGCTTAATTTCATTTTAGAAACTTCCACATTTAAATCAAATTATATCAATGTTTGGTTAAGAATGTTCAGATGTCTCAGTTATGATATTAAATGAAACTGTTTTTTTTTATTTCATTCATTGGAAAGAACTGTAACCAAGTTTTAAAAGGATTGAATGTATTTATGCATGTTGTTTATATAGCTTCAGTTTAAATATTTTAAAGGCCTTGAGTAATGTCTCAATTCCGTTTATTGACTTCAATATCTCTGACTTGCTTTAATTGAGGAATCACTGTAATGTTTTTTTTTCCTGTGTATTTGTATACAAGGAGAAGAACTCTCTATTGTCATCAGAGATTACAGATCATAAGAGATCATCAGAGTAAGTTTTGTCAGTCGAACCGACAGCTGTCTTAGACTGGGTTCCCATCCCTAGATCGATCTAACAGGATCGGTCTATCTCCACGGGGTCCCTCGCTAAATTGCTTTCAGCCCAAGTGGCTTACACGCCTGGGATGCCCCAAGCTGCTAAACGATAGGTAATTACCCACTATCAGCCTCAGTAGACGTAACAGACATCTAAGCCGCCTAAGTTGCAATTAAGCGAGAATCCCCTCGGAGATAGTTCGATCGAAGTTAGTACAATAGGGTCTGGGAATGGTCTCTTAGGAGACTCCAGGCCTCTTATTCAGAGAAATAAATGTAGAGATCTGCCAGTTAGTAGTTAATCTCTGAAAAACAGCCTTAGCCATAATGTTATCTGCTGGAATAGTAGGGCAATTCCGGCGATACGGACGTACATTTTGCACACTTTGGGAGTGCACTGCACAAAATCCTGTACATTTGAGGCCAATTTCTTGTGGCCTGTATGTGCGTCTTAGGTGGTTATATTACTTTATAAAATAACATGTTTCAACTCCTTTGCATGGCTATGTAGCATACTGAAAACACCCCTGTAACGGACGTATGCGTACAAATGAGATTTTTCAACTTGCTTTATTCAACTCAAAAACTCTGTGAAGTTTGCTGTCCAAAATTTTTGAAAAAAATATATAGTGCACAAAACATGTTAAGGTTGATAAAATATCAGGTTAAGTTAACAGTTTGATTATAATGACTGGGCTGGAATACTTTGTTTCATGTAACAGACGTACAGTTTGGTCGTAATAGACGTACTTGTATGAACACAACGGATGTACATAAAAATAAAATTGCATTTATGAAGTACCTAAACTGTATTTAGTAATTACACTACTCTTACTTAATTCATAGTTTTTAAAGTTTACATTGAAGCAACATTAGACAAGTAGTTATGAATAACAACAATCTAAATCAAATACAATTTTATTCAAAGTAAAATAGTATGTCACATGACAAAACTTCTCATCTATTTGTAGAAGTTTATTAAATTTCTTTTTTTTTTTTTTTGGATTAAACAAAATTGTTGAAAACCTTGAACTAAACTCTCTTAATTTCTTCAAATTTTGTTAAAATTCCCTATGGTAAATGGTCCATTTCCTTTTAAAACAAGAGGACCTACAAACAAAAAGGTGGAGGCACAAAAGATGGAGGATTAAGCAGATTTTGTGCCAGAAACTTCATTTTAATATGATGAAAGCTGAAATGTGAACAAGTACATGATTCTATAACTCTTCCTACATAGAAATTTACAGAATCAATGTAAAAAACAGCATAATAACTTTCTCTTTTGATAACTGGGCCAGCAAATCTGATACCATCATAATGGCTTATGGATGGTATATAGCCAACAAATACTTGTCTAGGGTATTTCTATTCAAGAATTCCAGAATTCTATCTCTTCATTCAACACACTTTTGCTGCAAACAATTTTTTGAATCTGGCTGGCATACAACTTTTTCCAATGAACTCTGAAATAATTTGAGGGAGATCGGAATAACCATGTAGAGCCTTTAATAGATGTCGGACACTTTCATGATACACGCATAAACACATATTATGTGGTATGGATTCAAACAATTTTACATGTTTAGGATGTAACTCACAAAACTTACTACGACTGATTTTTTTGTCAGTAGCTACTGTCTTATAATAATTTTCATATGCTTCAGAAAGTGAGGGAAGCATATATCTAGACTGCAGACTTCATCATGGAACAAATTATTTTATAACAAATTCTTTTTTCATTGAATACAAGTACAGGAAGATTTATTAAATATCTAATCAAATTATAACCACCTATCCTTCAGGTAAAGGTGGGGGTAAACAGATGAACAGGTAAACAGATATTTTATGAATATTTTTAGTGTGGTGGGAAGGTGAGCAGGTGGGTAGTGGTCAAGCAATTAAAAGTGACAAATAATCAAAGGGATACCTGGACAACCGAGATAATCTGTTTACCCCACCTCTCCCTAGAGATGCACTTTGATTAAAGACTTATACCCCCTTTACACTGGACGGCGTCCTTTCTGCGTCCTTTCTGCGACCATGAAATTTGGCATCGCTGTGGTCTTAATAAGGAGGCACGAGCATTGATTTGGTATCAGAATGAATGCTCAATGATCGGCCAGTTGTCGGCACGTAAAGTATTATAATTCTTTAACTCTCAAATGGGGCCGAACTGCTGGACGCAGAAGGGACGCCGTCCAGTGTAAAGGGGGCTTTACTCAATCAAGTGGGGAGTAATAAAGCAATAAAAAGTAACAGTTCATTCCTCAAAGGGTTACCTGGATGAGTGAGATCATCTGTTTACCCCTCCTTTACCTGGAGATATACTTTAATCAGATTTTTAATAAACTGTTCTGTACTTCTATCTTGAAAATTTATGTACTTGTACTCCGTGAAAATAATCTGTTTAATAAAATTAATATTATCTTTAAGGTGATCAAAGTGCTTATTATGGTAGTTGATAACTTCACAAATGCTTTTTCTCAGTAAGGTCTCTACACAACTTCAGTAAGTGCAGCAAGAAGTATCCAGTAATCAGCAAGCAGTAGTGGACATGACAGATATATATATATATATAGCCTAAATATGGAAGCCCTTAGGAGTTTCTAGATCTTTCTATACATTACCATTGATAGCAGATTCCATAAACATCTTGAATTCAATTGTATTCATACTGAATTCTACAATGTTTTATCTACTGATTTTTAGGATGTTCTACCAAATTCTAGAATGTTCTCATTTCTGACCAGCACAACATAGATGAAGATGACATAATTAGCATCAATGATGATGATGAACACATAAGATGTTGATATATTAATTCAAGAATGTTTTTTTTTATCAATGTGCTAATTTATATTCCCAAACCCAATAATCTGAATTTGAATTGAAATATTTATTTTACATACCAATTGTTCATCAGTGATACATAAACTATGCAGTATGCGTAAGACGGGATGGTAAATTTCTAATTAATCACTTTCTGTTCAAGAGTAAAACCCTTTGTACTTGATGTACATCACAAAATGTACGCCCCTTACGCAAAAGTGTGTACGTCTGTTCTATTATTTACATAAAATTAAAACATGGTAAAACAAAATTTTGTGTACTATTATTGAGAGGAGTGAAAGTGTGCTTTGCAAAAAAATCAGCATTTTGTAACATCTTTTTTTAGTAAAATAACTAAAAAAATGTGTTTTTACTGTAATGGACGTACATTGACCTGCACACCAAAAGCTTGCCAATTTTTTTTTTATGCTAAGAGCTCTGTCAATTTTTTTCTTTTTTGTTGAATATTAGACATTTGCCCATTGTTAATATATACTACAAAATTTTGTTAATGTATTTTAAGAACAAAATTTTCACAATTTAAATTTGTTGACTGGATCATGAAAAATAAGCTATAAAAAGGACCACATTTGACATAATTTTTCTTAACTAAAATCAAAAGATATTCTAAAAACTCCAGTAGTTCCAAAAACTTCAACTGATCTGCTTTTAAATGACACCCTTTGTTAGATTCTAGAGCAAATTTGAAAATTTTATGTTGAGGTTGACCATTTGCCGAAAATGCCTAGTAACTTAGTGTCACTTGTTGATAAAACAACGTGGGGAAGAGAAACGGACTGATTGGAAGTTTAGCGACAATTGGAAAGAAGGTAGGACCTGGCTGACAAACAATCCGAAAAAGGAAAATATTGTGTGCCAAGTGTCAGGAGTACTACAGTTATCTTGAAGATTAACAGCAACATTAATCCAACTGCTTTATTAAGAACAGGTTTTCACAATTCCCAAACACCTACTATTCACAACCAGGGGTTGGCCTAAAGTGCACATGAACTTGGAAGGCTCACAGTTTCTTCTTTATCAAAAAGAAACAAATGAAAAAAGAATTCAGTTTTGGCTGGACAGTCCCCATCACCTCACATTGCTGTTTTGCAATGCATATGTAAACACAACAGGTGAAATTATTTTCACATTTATGGATATTTTATGGATAGACATTTGATATTACTGGCTACATGTTCTTCATTCTTGTATTGCATTCTGATATCATTCTAAAATACTCTTTTCATTAAGTAATAAACAACTTAACATGGAGATATGTTTTTTTCTGCCTTAATATTGTTGCAAAAAGTATGAAATATATATAAACTAAACTCCGAGAGCTCAGACCTCTGCCAAGGCAGCATTTTTTAAAATTATTATTGATTGATTATTGATCTGGATCACCACCAAAAACTAATCACTTCTAAGTTAACCCATTTCTGACCTACCCTGAAAATTTCATCAAAATAGGTCCATAATGTTTTGAGCTATGTTGAAGATTGATTTTTGAATATTGATTGATTAAGATCCAGATCACCACCAAACACTAATCATCTCTTCCTTGGCCCACTTCTGACAGTTCTTGAAAATTTCATCAAAATGGGTCCATAACTTTTAGAGTTATGACAGACAGATAAACAGACAAACAGACAAACAGGGGTGGAAAAAAAACCTCCTTGGTGGAGGTAAAGATATACATATGTGTAAAAGATATTATTTCAGAAGTTTTATTGTCTACAATTGAAAAATGAAAAAACCTTTAATTTTGTTTCAGTCTGACAAATTTTTTGGCCTTTCGTTAAATTTGGGATTGAGCCCACCTAGGTTACATAGGATTTTGACATATAAGTGAATAATTTCCAGCAAAAATAATGTAACATACTGCTTTAAACAAAGCATATACTGTATGTTACAAATTATCCCTTAACAATATGTTGTTTCGTTAAGTCACTTACCGTAATGTGGTTGCTGAATTGATCTGAGCATATCCAGCTGAAAAACAAAATGTTCATTTACATTTGTAAAGAAAATAATTGCAGTCAAACTGCTATGTAATAAGACAAGACTGAACTGCTAATTTCCAAAGTGTTTTATATGACATCACTACAGTAAGATATCAAGCACTTGACCTCTATACTAGTAGAGATCAGCATGGCCCTTGACATGTACAAGACATGGGACCTTAGACCCCAAGAGGTGGCCTAGTTTGATTTTGCAAACTTCAGAAAAGTGTCTATCAATTAGATTTCCACCAATTTTCATTGCACATTCAACTATTGCAATGGTATCTGAACTGTGCAATCACATAAATGAATCACCAGTGTTACCTTGTTGTTTTCTTTTCTTTCAAAATTCAACATAGTGGAGTGGCTTAGGGTAATACATGTATTTTTCTATCTATATAGATAAAGATTTTTTTATATTTATATATTTAAATACCATTGGATGAAGCAGTGATGTGTGTAACGTTACGAGCGGAGGAGCGCACACCAGACAACACGTTGTTAATAATTACTCAACTGCAGCACACAGCCGCTCTTTATTCTAATTGGACAATATTACGCAATGTGCATGACGCACCACTATGTGACATCCCCCCCTTTTAAAGGAAAAAAAACTAATTAACATACAGACAATCACTTACCAATTACTTATATGTCTATCTACAAAATGTGATACACATGCTTATCTTAAACATTGTATTACCACCTTAGTTAAAGTAATAAAATACAAATAAAAGTAAAAGTTCTGTTATGACTGTCTCTGATCAGCAAAATGCATTTTATGATTAGTGCAATAACATTAAACACAACATGTCTCCCCTAGTAAACAGTCAATGTTAATCTTCCTGAGTGCATAAAGTCAATGCAGTACTTTTCAACAGTGTCTTTCTTACACACATACATTTAAATGTGTTACAGGTACTGTGTACAATCAACAAGTTTTTTTTTTCTTTTTTTTTTTTAATATAACAACAAATAAACATGCAGTCACTTCATTTCATAATCTGCTTGCCACCTAGGCGGATGTCTCTCTCGAGTACTACGCCTACACATTTGTGGCTGAGCAATTTGTTTTCCAGTTTCATTGTTCTGGTGCACTGTTTTACTCATACTAGTATCTGATGGTTCAGTATCCATAACATGCGACTCGGGCACAGAGTCAGGAGACTTGTTTATCATGCGTTGGTTTCTATGATATGAATGTCCATCCGGAGTAGTCACCTCATATGACCTCGGCGTATTATGAATATCTGTCACTCTGGCATATTCCCAATTTTGTCCTAAATTCACACGAACACTATCTCCCACATTAAATGACTGGTGATATTTAGCACTTCTATCATAATAAAATTTCTGCTTTTGCTGATGATTGTGCAACTTTGACTGTGCATCATTTACCATCTTTGGTTGCAGCAAGTTATTTGTAGTAGGCATTTTATCTTTTAACCTCCTACTTATTAACAATTGAGCTGGTGATGAGCCTATACCAGCTAAAGGTGTATTTCTGTATTCTAACAACGATATGTGAGGATCTTTACCCTCTGCTTATGCTTTCTTAAGCATTCCTTTAATTGACTGCACAAATCGCTCACTTTGACCATTAGACTTAGCATAAGTGGGACTAGTATAAACACAAGTGAATCCCCACTCTTTCGCAAACTGCTTAAAAGTAGCACTATTGTAAGGCATATTATCACTAACTAAGGTATCTGGAATACCATGCCTTGAAAACACTGGTTTCATTGCTGCAATAACACCAGCTGCTGTTTTGTTTTGCAGCTTGACAACTTCAGGAAACTTTGAATAATAATCAACTATCAACAAGTAATCATGGCCTGCAAACTCAAATATATCTGAACCCAGCTTTGACCATGGACGAGTTGGCAAAGAATGTGGAATCATTGGTTCCTTGGGATTCTGATGCGCACATGTGGCACATACTGGGCAATCAGCAATCTTGGTCTCTATGTCCTTGTTGATATTAGGCCAATACATAATTTCAGAGGCTCGTGCTTTGCACTTTTCACTGTCGGCATGTCCTTCATGAAGTGTAACAAGCATTTCTTGTCTCATGGCAACAGGAATTATAAGTCGCTCTCCAGCATATATCAGTCCTTCCTCCACATGCATTTGTCCCCTTAAATTCCAATATGCCTGAATTTCTGGTGCTAGGGAAGACTTATGCTGAGGCCAACCATTCACGATATGGTTATGGACCAGCTGGAGGCTGTGGTCACTCTGAGTAGCATCTCGAAGTTCCTGAATCCTGTGCATGGATGCTGGCAAATACTGAGTAACACTATGAATCCTGTACTGTCCCTCTTGTAACTGAGAATCTATGCTCTCCTTAGATGTGTCATCAACATATGCACGTGACAGCGTGTCTGCAATGTACAACTTTGAACCTGGTACATATGTCACACATAGATTGTATTTCATCAATTTTAACAACATCATTTGCATTCTAGGAGACACCTGGTGTAGTGGTTTCCTTATAATTGCCTCTAGGGGTTTGTGGTCACTCTCCACCATAACCTCATTGCCATAAATATAATGGTGAAACTTTGCTGCTGCATACAAAATAGCTAAAAGTTCCTTCTCGATCTGTGCGTATCTCGTCTCTGTATCAGTTAATGCACGTGAGGCATAAGCAATAGGTCGACCATCTTATAATAGACATACACCTAATCCCGTAGATGATGCGTCTGCTTGTATTGTCACTGGCTTGGATGGCTCAAACAACTTCAGCACTAGTTACTGAGAGTACATCTTTTATTTGTTGCATGGCAGCTTTCTGCTCTGGTCCCCAACTCCAAGGTACTCCAGCTTTCAACAAACTGCTGATTGGACTCATGGTAGAAGACTTATTTGGAATAAATGGTGATAGGAAATTCAACATTCCTGTTAAACGCTTCACTGCCTCAGTATCAGTTGGGTCTGGCATTTCCAAAATTGAGCGAATCTTCTCTGGGTCTGGTCGGATTCCTTGTGCTCCAACAATCATCCCAAAATATGATACTAGTACACTGTTTTGTTTCAACTGCATTTTCTTGGCATTAAAACGAACATTATTCTCCATGGCACTTTGATCACTTCTCCCAGGATTTGATTGTGTTCCTCAACTGTCTCTGTTGCTATCAGAATGTCATCTGCTATAGCGTATTTATTTTAAAGACACGGTAAACATTTTTCTGCAAAATATCTGCAGCACTCGTAATTCCAAATGGCATTTGTCTAAATTTATAGCGTCCAAAAGGTGTGGAAAAAGTAGTAAGTTCTGAACTGGAGTCATCTAATTCCACTTGGTAATAGGAATCATGATCAATGATAGTGAAGACTTTATTTCCTCCTATCTGCGCTGCTACTGATTCGAATGTTGGCATATTGAAATGTTCCCTTCTTATCTCTTTGTTGAGATGTTGGGGGTTGAGGCACAACCTTATGGAACCGTCTTTCTTCTCTGTATATTGCTAATAAAATCTGTGGGGTGGTCCACCTTCTCAATAACTCCTTGTCTCTTGTCTCCTTGTCTCTTCTGTGGAACTCTGTGTGTAGGAGCAATGTGACCCTTAGCACCCTGCTTCAATGAGATGTGATACTGCCCAGGGAACTTTCCCAGGCCTGTGAAAGCACTTTTATAAGATCCCTTTTCTATCTGAATCTTGTGTAATTGATGCAGTTACTGAGTCAAGATTCCTTTGTTTCTCCACTGAAACAAGACCTAGAGCAATGCAAACTTGCAGTCCCATCACTGGCACTGTTTTTTGTTTTGTAACAAATACTTCTCCAATGGTTTTACGTCCATTTGACATGCTCATATCTACTTTCGCTCTGTCAATGTGCTCTACCACTGCACCACCAAATGCTCTAAGTATGGTATGAGATTGTTCTAGTTCGGGTCTACCTGCTATCTTTCTCCATATTTTCTGGGGTATTGAACTAGTTTCTGCACCTGTGTCTATCTTCATTCTAATATGAGAGTCAGCTACCTTTACATTTTCAAACCATACACGCTGATCTTCATTCCTGGACACACTGCCTATACTCAGCTCTATTGTTCCCATAAAATACTCATTACTGTATTTTTTCAAAATTAATTTTCATGTTGACCGAGCCATGCATCTGTTATTCAAAGAAATGTTTGGCAATTCATTTAACTATGTTTATTACATGAGACTTTATGCCGTCCAAATATTATGAGAGCCGCAGTCATCTTAGCACGAAATGTCGTTGTAAGAGAAACCATGGTCCAAATCTGCACACAGACTGCCCAGCATGGGGACGGACATGTTACAAGTGTAAAGGTAACAACCACTTCAAAAGTTGTTGTAGAGCTACCGTAAAAGTCCATGAACTAAGTAATGACGATAACTGCACTGTTATCATCATTACTTAGTTCATGGACTTCATCCCACTTCTGGCACCGTGTAATGTTACGAGCACACACCAGACAACACGTTGTTAATAATTACTCAACTGCAGCACACAGCTGCGCTTTATTCTAATTGGATAATATTACGCAATGTGTATGACACACCACTATGTGACAATGTGTGTGTATGTGTGTGCGTATGTGTGTGTGTATGTGCGTGTGTGGTAAGTGGTCCCTAGGGGTGAGCTGCTCTTGATAATATGGGGAAGTGCGGGGATATGCGATGGCTACCCATCGACACCATCTAGTTTTTCATTTGTTTTAACATTGTATAGAGTTCAGCCCAGTTTATCTTTCCTTCGAGCGAGGATGCTACTGTGTTAGTCAAATTTGGAGTTTCAATATTTTTCAGTCAAGTTTTTAGGACTATATGGATTTGTGATTTTGTTTCTTAAATAAATTTTCATTAAAGTGTGCAGTTTCCTTGAGAATCTTCTTTTGTTCAGTAAGAATATTACTGTTATCTGTTACCAGTTCAGTTATTGACTTATTTGTGAAATTGCCATTTTCCAGTGCCAAAAAGTATTTTGATGGTTATTTTCATCTGACAATTGAATCTTGACGTTTTCTTCATTTTTACTGTTTTACCTTCTAGCAAATGTGATATTGTTGTTACTCAGAGCGTTAACGCATTGGAGGCTTACTTTCATACACAATGACTTTAATTTACATTGATACTTACTAGTATACTTGCATCACCCCCCCTCCCCCAGCCTACACACACTCACTGCTAAAACTCATACTTTATAAATTTTCCTGGGGTAAACAGTATTTTTCTCAAAGTAAACAACTTCCTATCCTTCTTTCTGACACTTTCCATATTTCTGTAAAATATTTTGGAAAATTTAATAGCTAACTCACACTTCAGCAAGTTGCTTTCAAATTCCACCATCATTCAAGCTGAAATTCTTACAATGACTTCCCTGCTGCACACAACTCAGTTTCTAACTTTATATATGAATGAAAAATCTAAAGAATTTAATAGCTTCTTTCCAGTTTAGCAATCTATGTACTCAACGTTATACCACAGTACTAAAAGGCATACTACGTCCTTCATGACATTTAATTTATAATTAATACAGATTTTCAACCATTTATGATTTAGAATGCTATCTAGTCTTAGTCTTAGAGAGTATGTGCTATATAAACTTGAGGTAACTCACCAAAAAATGCGAAGGTTATGACCACTAAACACAGAAAAAACTTCATTCTTCGAGGCATATGGATTTCGGGGAAACTGAGCATAATCTCTTTTACAAAACAATGGATAAGATCATGTCTTCCACCCAACCGACGTACGTACGTAGCGTAGACGATGCTGACACTACTCCGTGTTGTCAAGTTCAAGGTTAGGAGCCTCGATGCCAAGTTAACCAATCAAAATCAGACTTAATCGTTCCTCAACGACTTTCAGCGCCGTTTTTGAGGTAAGTGTATTACATTATAGTCTACGCTCATTTTTTTAGAGACCGATGTACGGTTATTACGATCACAATAGTTTATACCAAGCGTATATGTAGAACACATTGAAATATGTTATAAAGCTAGAAATATAAGATAAGAAATGTGAGCTAGGCAAATCGGAAATATACATGTGAATACAAATTTAATATTATCAACAATGTTTTATTACCTGGCACTTTAGCCTAGTTCGACAGCATTTCCTCCAACATATAACCCTTTAATTTTCAGTATTTTTTCTAAATTAATTTTCATTGACCGAGCCATGCGTCTGTTATTCAAAGAAATGTTTGGCAATTCATTTAACTATGTTTATTACATGAGACTTTATGCCGTCCAAATATTATGAGAGCCGCAGTCATCTTAGCACGAAATGTCCCCTACGGCCCCCCAGGCCCAAGAGGTCATCATAGATGTGGGCCAGCTGGTAGCGCTAGTCCCAGTCAATGATATGATTCTCTTTAACTGAGTGATCTGTGAGAGCATATTTCCACAAAAAAATATTAAATTCATGTATATTTACCAGACTAATGAACTTTTTAAAGAAATGAAGTGTTGAGTGTTCAAATGAGAATTTGTTTCTGGAGGGTATTTCAACTGAAATATTAAATAATTTAAAAGATTTATCATTTTATTATTTGAAACGCAAGTTCTGTGTCTGTATGAAAAACTTTTTTGCAAGTTTTGTCAAACCCAAAAACATATGGCAGAACAAGGTAAAAAAAGAGCATTGTTTGCTATAAGTAGCATGTTAAAAAATCATAACTTTAATGTGTTCACTAAATGTGCAGTATTTAATACGGATTTTTAAAAGAATGTTGGGTGCAAAAAGGAGAACCAGTGATAACTTATTTCATTGTACATAACGTAGTACATTATGAAACTGGGAGATACCCACTTCTTTTAAGTATAAAGCCACAATTTTTAAATATTGATTTAAATCCGCTCTCTGAAAAATTGTATTATAAATAAGCGTGCTATAAAGATCTACTCAACAAAAAATTTAGATTGGGTAATTTGAGTACGGAATGAACTGGTGACATTTGGCTTGTCGTTTATTTTTCACGAAAAGATGTCAGGTAATTTTATACTGGCCTTGAAAGAGTAAAGACTGAAAGATAATTTTAGACAAACATTGACCGGGGAAATATCCAAAAGGAGTAAAGGGCCATTGTACCAACATCTCATTGATAATTTTACAGTGCAATTCTATTTCAATAAGCTTATTATACAGAGATTTAAGGAATTAATTGCAAAATTTAGACTTTCATCACATAATCTAGCTGTAGAAACTGGAAGGTAAACAGACACAAATAAAAATTAAGAACCTGTAAACTATGTATTTTAGATGACATCGAGGATGAATTTCATTTTATTCTTGTAATAATTTAAAAATGTCTTTGCTACAGAACAATTAGGCAGAAATACGTTAAAAACTTATTAAACAAAGTAAAGTGTTTTCAAGCTAATAAAATTGTTATCTATCAACAATTAAGCAACTTATGAAAGTACTTACAATGTGCATCCGAGCTAAGTTTAACGTCAGTCTGATGAGTTTTTATCATTACTACTAGTAGTTGTATTGTTGTTGTGTTTATGACTTTATGTTTTTATTGCATTTCATTCTGATGAGCCATAGGGTGCAAGGGTTTCATAAATTGAATTAATTGAATTTTACAAATAACATGGACTTCATTACATGGACTGACTGGATGGCTCAAATGGTAGTGTGCTTGCCTCTAGTGCAGTAGGTTGTGGGTTCAATCCCTGGACGGGTCATACCAAAGACCATCATAAAAATGGTACCTACTGTCTCCTTGCTTAGCACTCAGCATATAAAGGTTGAAGTAGGGAACAAAGCCAGTACTGTTGAATGACTGGTAACAGAGGGCCATGTGGAAGATAAGCTTATGCTTAACATGTTTACCCTCTTTAAGTAAGGCCACACTTTTTTAATTTTATGGATGACATCCTGCGCGCGCACCGATTTTCGTCCGTTCTCAAAAAAAAAAAAAAATCCCCCCCCCCAAAAGGAAGTCGGTTGTCGCAAACGTCGTTATTGAATTTGCCGGAAAATGCAATCGGCAATCCTCGGCTAATTCCGCAAGCTCCATGCTGTCATTGTCGACTGCGGAGACATCCGAGTAGTTCCGAGTGCGGAAAATGAGCTTTCTGCGCATGTGTATTATCACCACGTGGAAATATGGCCGCTTTGCCGTCAAATTCATCTCTAGCATTAATTTCAAAATACACGACAATTAAAGTCATAAAGAGAATGGGGGCCGTCGTTTTGGATTGGTTTGCCATTGATATTGGACATGGAGATATCACCTTTTTACAATTATACGAAAGGCTGGCCGCGGCCAGCGATCATCGCCCGGAAAATTTCAGTGACATTCTGTCCAAAGCAGCACATACTGTAGGCTTACCAGGGTTTTTTTTTGTAGCGAAAAAAGGGTCGACAAGAGCGTCGTGGTATTTGGTGGACTGAAGGTCGGACAGGCCACCCAATAGTTGGCTGCTACGTGTGAGTCGAAGTAGACAAAATGGCATCGACCGAAATTACCTTTTTTAGATTTGGTAGTAGGAAGCATAGGCCTATCTTTGCTTCATTTTTTAACAATTCTGTGAAGTGTTCACAATACTTAAATTTTCTGAGAGTACAAATAAAGACACGCTGTTTATGTGATATTTGTTTTATTGATTGCTATACCAACAGAATGCATGAAATAACCTTAAATAGATTTGGTAATATGCAGCATATATATATTCATGACTTTTTACCTTTCTACGAAGTAGGCCCTATTCACAATGCTTTAATATTTTGAGAGCATGGATAAAGACATGTTGTTAGTTTGATACGTGTTTCTGTGGTAAATTAGTGTTTCCAGCTGTGTACTGAAAACTTAACTTTTCTTAAGCATTTTTTTTTTTTTTGGACTTTTTTTTTTTTTTCGCCCGCTCGCACCGATTTTGGGGTCCCCAGAGGATGTCATCCATAAAAATAAAAAAGTGTGGCCTTAAGTTTAAAAAAACAAAATATTCAATGACCAAAAGTACCCTCAAGTCAAGTGCAATAATTTATATTAGTTGGGATAACCATAATTAAATGCTAGTTAAAGAATTGAGTAGACTGGAAAATGGCTTCACGAGGATTTAGACCCCTCGGGTAAGAAATTTGAATGAGTATGCACTTTTATCAAGAGTCAGAAAAGTCATCTTACAGGTAGACAATGCAGCTTAGAGTGCATTCCCAGAGATTTAGACTGATCCATCCAGATAGACCTAACTCCCTGGGGGTTCAATCAGTTAGCCAAGCGAACGTGACAGTAAATTACCCCCTTACAGCTTTAAGTAGGCGAGACAGACGCTTAAGCTGGCTAAGCTGACAGTAATCTAGTGAAACTCCCTATAGGGATAGATCGATCTAATATCTGTGGGAATGGGGTCTTAGTTTGACAGCTAAACATGCATTTAACACCATAAATTTCACCTACTTTCTCTCGACACAGTTCACTAGAAAGCAAAGCAGTGCCTACTAATAGGCTTGAACTCTGTACCCCTGTATTTTGAATGCACTGTCATAGGGACTCATGATCATCTTTATAATTAAAACATGAGTAATCAAATGCTTGTCAAAAATTTCCCAGCAGTACATAAGTTGCAAAGTAAAAGGACCCTGCGGAAGTTTTCTGGAAAATTAACAACTGTACCGACGGAAAAGGCTTATACCATGTTAAAAATATATCTCCAAAAAATTAAAATAATTGTTCCGGTACCATTATTTGGAACTTCAAAGTTTACAAATGAATAAAAACACTTCAGAATACCAAACTAGTCTACCATTATCTCTCCCCTCCCCCCCCCCCCAAAAAAAAAAAATAAAAATAAATAAATAAATAAATAAATAGATAAATAGATAAAAAATAAAATAAAACAAATTGGTTAAGGATTTTTAGACAATTTTCATAAATTGTCCATATATCCCCCGATGGACCATATTGGAAAAAATGACATAAATAAAAAAAGTAGACATTGAACCATCCTCCTTGGTTTATTTACCTGTGAAATTGTTAGTTTAGTCATTTACGATCACATATTAATATTCCAATTGTATTTGCTGAGTTTTGATCAAACCATGCCTAATTTACAACATGTGAAAGCTTGGTATTACTAGGAACTTTGTAAGTTGTACTAGTATTTACAGCGTATTGAATCTTGATATTACTAGGAACTTTGTAAGTTGTACTAGTATTTACAGCGTATTGAATCTTGATATTACTAGGAACTTTGTAAGTTGTACTAGTATTTACAGCATATTGAATCTTAATAATTCTAGGAACTTTTTTAGTTGTACTAGTATTTACAGCATATTGAATCTTAATAATTCTAGGAACTTTTTTAGTTGTACTAGTATTTACAGCATATTGAATCTTGATATTTCTAGGAACTTGTAAGTTGTGCTAGTATTTACAGCATATTGAATCTTGATATTTCTAGGAACTTGTAAGTTGTGCTAGTATTTACAGCATATTGAATCTTGATTTTTCTAGGTACTAGTATTTGCAACATATGGAATTTGCTAGTATTTACAACTGAGATGGCAGCTGAGATGGAGTTTTCCCAAACGGTGGCAGGGGATCAGATGGAGGTTAACTCTCTTGTTGGAGCTTCCAGAGGTGTACCAGGTAGAAATTTAACTCTCAAATAATTTACAGTAGCTTGTAAGGGACAGTAGCGATGAGATGCTTGAAATCCTAAACTATGCTCCTACTGTGGCTTTTTAAGTACAGAGACAGCTGTGCCTGTACATATAGCCGCCGCCTGCCTTTGTCGTCACCGCTGTCTCCACTTTCAGTGTTTTTAAGATAATTGAAAAACTATTTGACCTTTTTTGTCTTCAGACTTATAGCACTGATATACATTCATAGACTTAGAGAATGACTTAGAGGTTGACTTAAAGAATCAGACCATTTTTCAGATGTGTCTGTACATATAGCTGTCCCGTCACTATACACTTTCACAAATAACATGATAAGTGTAAAAACCATTTTACCCTTTGGCTTGAAAATTACAAAACTGATGAATATTCATGATATGCAGGTCAAGTTCGAAGATGGGCATGATGGAGCCACTATTTAAGAAGTAATGCTGTTTTTTTTTTCAGCATATATACAACACTGATAGTTAACACAAGTGGAAAACCATTTAACCTCTTGGCTTGAAACTTACAGAACTGATGAATATTCATAAAAGGCAGGTCAAGCTTGAAAATCAGCTTGATTGGACCATTTTTACAAAAGTTATACTGTTTTTTCACTTTTTTCACCATATATGCAACACTGACAACACATTTCAAGGAAAACCGATCAGCCTATTGTCTTGTAACTCACAGGAGTGATCAGTCTTACTAATATATAGATCAATTTTGAAAATAAGTTTTAATGATGTTACGCCTTTTTTGTATATAAGTGGTTTTTCTTCAGATTTTTCTTATGCATTGTTAACTGTTACTGCAAAATGAATGCTGTTTTGTAGATATGATGATCAAAGTTTATTATAGTGAATGTAGAGCGCTTTTATAAACAAGATTAAATGAATGAATTGTGAATGCAGTATATAATTAAATAGAATGTAACAAATACGTAATGGATTAATGCTTACTTTCAGGGTTCTCCCCAGGCCTTTATAGCGTATCGGCCTGGGGAGAACCCTGAAAGTAAGCATTAATCCAGGCCTTTATAGCGTATCGGCCTCGATACGCATCTCTTTTTGCCGATACGCATCTCTTTTTTGCCGATACGCTTCTTTTTTTGCCGACACGATTCTTTGAACTCTGATACCCTTTAAGAGTGTGTGTGTGACCAATGCCTTTAATGCCTTCATTCCTGACAGTCGCGACGTAAACGACTTGTGTGCGTACTTGGATCTCTTGTGTGCACGTTAAGTTGTTTATTTTTATTCTGCCTGGCGCAGTAATACAAGTATAACATCTTATGTTGAGGGCTCGGGACCTGCGTACTGACAAGTTTCGAATATCAACATCCGCTTATTAGTTTCATCATCAATGTAATTCTGTGAGATTTGTTTGCTTTATCTATATTTTTGGAGAAATATAATAAATAGTCTATCCTTCATGTTATTTTGACTGAAGAATAGTAGCAGTCGTAATCATTTATAAATAAATGTATCCATGCGGCAAGAGAAAATATCAGAAAAGATGCAACGCTATTTAATATGGTAGCGCCTGTCCGGGTCAGGTAAAAATTCAGCTTGGACAGGTGAAGTTGCAGGGTTGGCTGTCCGACAGATAGGTCATGATTTATGAGAAATTTGGAGCAAAAATCTTTCAAAAATCATTTCTACTTTTGGCACAAAACACGTGCAGTTGCAAAACGAAGTCTGAGCAAACTTACTGTCAAGTTATGAAAGTGAACACCCTCCAGAACTTCATCAGACATTATTTATTCACATAACAGGCTCACTATTCTAATCTATGTAATGTTGTTTTAAAATTGAAGAAAACCCTAATTTGAACACTGTTGCAGCAGGCAGACTGAAATTTTTTCAGAATAGCCACCATCTAAACTGCAGTAATGTGAATATTGCTGGGCCATATGGATTTAAGCTGTATTGACAATTTCCATTAAATATGGATGGGTTTTGTTCGCATGGTATATTCATTATGAAATGGTATCACTATCTATATAGACTTATTGTAAAGCTAAATTTTTCAGAACTCGACATCTTGGTTTTGTGTTATTTATTAATTTTTTTTTGTCAAGAACATTGTATTTTTTTCTCAAAATTTACAGATAGCCTATTTTGTGCATCACTTTCCGTCTTTTTGTCTGTACATTTGACAGCTTTGTTGTCTTGTTTGCCATCTATTTTAATTTGGGTATCTGAAACACAAAAACGTTCTAGACTTTCAAAATACCATGTCATGCTAGTGATCTATTAGTGTTTGTGCTTGCAAACATTAAGTATGACTTATTATGGTTGCCTGACAGAAAAAAAATCGTTTGTGCCTTCCACGTAATGGCAAAATTAGTGTGAACCCTGATTCAAGTTATACTGTACATAGTTATTTTTACATGTCAATTTTCTTCTCTACATTTCTAGAGTACCAGCCTGTTGTAGTCCCTCCACCACCAGAGGGCATTGCCACCTTTGACAAGACAGGCCCAAGGTTGATGATCACTCACATTGTAAATGAAAATTTTAAGTCATATGCTGGTGTGCAAACACTGGGACCTTTCCATAAGGTGAGTATAAGTAATGCCAAAAACATTTGCAAATCTTAAATATCTTAAATCAGTGCTTGACAATCAAATTTTTCACTCATTTTGTGACTGATTGTTATCAGGCCTGGAGATTTGGTGGCTGTTTCAAATTTTAAATACAGGGGAACATTTTTACATCAGGAGAATTATTTGGAACTGAATGTGTGAATGTGAATGCTGGGGTAGCGCTAGGATTTTTTTTTTTGCTTTAGTCAAACGTCTGAAAAATTTTAGCCAAATCCAATTTTTTTAGCCAACTTAGAATATTTTTAGCCAAATAAATAATGACAATTTAAGGAATTTAAACCAATATTTATTCCATTTTAAATGCATTTTTTACAATGTCGATGCAAACAAGATTTAAAATCTAAGGAATCTTTCCTTGTTTTGTAATTGTTCAGCTTCTTGTAGTATACACATACATCATCCGAAAGCTGTGAAAAATAAATAATGCAAGTGTTCAAAATTGATGTTTCTAAATTGGTTTGGACCCCATCCTCTTCCATTTGTATTAGACGTGTGGATCCACATTAATGTCATTTCTGTTGCTGCTGAACTAATGATTCAACTAATTTGAATGGCTCGGCACTATGTCTGCAGACAGGTCAACTGAAACTGGGAAAAAAAATGACAGGTCAGGTATTAAACATTAACAAATATGTCAAATAAATAGGGGGCAATATTCATTAAAAAAAAGTCGGATACCCACAAATAATCGGAAAAACCTCATCCCTGCTTAAAATAAAAAATACCTACTTCTTAAAAGTGACATTATTTGGCGAAATTGGTGAGTGCTAGCACGACCCCAGGAATGTCAAATAGCCGTATGTTATTCTAAATGACTGGTTAAATTGTTTAATTTGAAATGGAAAAAAAAAACAATTCAAGTGCAGGGAAGGGTGAAGCTGTGGTCTCAGCTGTTTCACGATCAGGGGTACAAAATAGGGGTCACATTGAGAGAAAAATGAACTCTGATGCATTTGTTTAATTTTGTAACAGATAAAAAGAATAACATCTTAACTATGATATCTACAATTTTTAGAGCACAAGATTAATTACTTTTTGTGCTACGCTCAAATTAACAGAACGCCCCTTCGACTATGATCTGGGGGTACAGACACTACACATTCAAGTAACTGATGCTTTTGTTACTGAAATATCATTATTGTTTACCAGTTATTTTTGCCAAAAGTCTAAAAAATGTCGAACTAAAGATATAACAGCAGTACTTTAACCAAAAGGATACAAGTACATGTATTAATCAAAGAGTTTTTTAGAGAAACACCACAGCACGTTTTTCAGTGGATGCTGGAGCTTGGTTGTATGTTATTCAGTGTGACTTTCATTTACCAGACTTTAATTGTAACTTTTCTTTCTGTTGCTTGGCCTTTTTTATCTATTCATTTTTTTTTTCTTTTAGTCTTGATTCCTGTTTTTGGAATCTTTTCTTCTTTTTCATCTCTCGTTAATTTGCACCTCTTGTTCTACTGTTTTCAGGATTGTTGGGTTTCTGATTCTCCTTAACTCTGTCAGTATACCCTAATTTCTTCTCTTTACTTTAGTCTTTCTTGCTGGGCCAGCCTAGGATGATTCTTCTTTTTTTGTTTTCTTCTATGCTATGTTACGTGCATTCAACATCTTCCTTATGTGCTTCAGCAAGATTGTTAGCATCTTTACGGATATTAGCTCTTTGACGTCTTTGTTTTTCAAAATTATTTTTTGCTGACAGTAAAATATTCATGATCCCTTTTTCTTTTCCTGTTTGGCTTTTTGTTTATTGTCATCCATATTTGATACTTCATTCACTGAGAGTATAATAAATGTACTGTTAATTATTCATGTATTGAAATGTTCGTACCCCCTCAAAATATATCATATACATTAATCCATAAACAATTTATTATTTTGCAATTAGCTATATTTGGCAATATATTCAAACCAATATTGTTCATTTTGAATGCAAAGAGTAGCATCTTGACTGATATTATTTCTTTGCAAAATCTCTTGCCTGACTCTAATTAATCAGTATCACTTTATCGAATATATATTTATATACAGTGTTTTTTCTAAACATCATAAGACAAGAATGCATTTTATATAGTCTAAAACAATATTTTGCATCATATTTTGAAGTTTTATCATCATTGATATGTAGCCAGTTATCCAATGGTTAATGTATAACTTGGGGGTATGGACACTACAGTGGGGGTACGGACACTACATTTGGCACCAAATTCTTGCATTTCTTTTCATAATAAGGGGTTATGTGCTATTTTCTTCCTGCAAAATAAATGTCAGTGTAGACATTATAGAATAATAAAATCAGACAGAATCTGCTGTGATTCCTAAAATAGATAGGGAGGGTACGGACACTACAAAAAGTAGGAGACACCAAGGGGCTCATGATTATAAATACCGTAGCATTAATAATAATGGTTACATATGCACAACTCCTTTCTTATGTTTAAGTCATAACATGGTAAATTCATCTTATTATCACGTAGGTGATTTCGAAGTAATATTTGGCCTTATCAAATATGTTTTTCATTGCATTAACAAAAATAAGTAAAATGTGTACAAAAGCCTGTTTCAGCAAAATGGTTAAAATAAATTTTTACTCAGAACATATCTTTGAAAGAACCTGCTAGAAGAGAAGACATATGTTGTGGGAATTATATACCAATATCATATTCACCATAAATCATTGACAAAAAGAGCTAGTGCATCATATTTATGACTTAAGTTGCAAATGACCCATCGTAACAGCTAGAAATAGGTACTTTTTGGACACATAATTGGCCATATTTTTGTAAATTGTAGTCCGATTATTATAATTCTTTTTTTATTTTGCTCCTATGAACAGTGTCTTTGATATCATTCTATCAGCAATCTCTAATCATAAATTGTTAATTTATCAGACACTTGTAACAATAACCACATTTAATTGTTCACCCTGATTGTGAAACAGCCGCAGGGTTCTGCCAAGGTCTCAAAAAAGGGGGGAGAATTCTCCCCTCTGAGCTTAAAAGTTGGGGAGATTTTGAGAAATAGTGGGAGATCAGGAAAAATGATATTTTACGTAAAAACATACACTGCTAGTCTGTACTGGTATTTTATTAAAGTTCACAAACTGAACTGATTCAACTTTGAAAGTAACTTTACATAGGCTGTATGTAT